CACCAACAGACTTGTTATCATCAGCATGACTCTGTGCACTCTGCTGTTTCCAAGTTGTCTGATTAGGGAGAGCTGCAAAAGTAGTTTTCTTTTCTGGTCCTTTGTTACTTCGCTTGGTTGTATCTTCTTTATCAGACTGCATGTATATTATATTAATACCACCTGGAAGCTGTTCTTTTAACTTAGAAAGCTCTGCAAAGCTAGTAGCCTTTGACATTTTTTCTCTATCAAAGGAAAGGTCACTTTCACTGCCAGAGTCCATAGCTTCTACTGCACTTTTCCTTGGGTCGCGGGCCATTAATTTTTCTTTACTCGTGTATTGTGAAGAATCACGCTTTTCTCGCTCTAATGCTTCTCTTTCTAGCTTGTCAATTAAACGATTATCAAGCTCATCAATGCTACTACGTTCAAAATCTCTTCGCCTTTCAACACTTCGTTCTCGACTGCCACGAGATTCTGGCCTTGCACTTCCTTCACGAGATTCCCTAGCCTGTGACCCTTCCCATGTAGTGTTCTCTCTTCTCCCTGTATGCACAAATGGTTCTTTATCAGGATTTCTAGAAATGTAATTTAAGTTATCTTGGCTTCCCCCAAAGTTTTCTATAGTTAACTGTGAGTCCTCAGCAGAAACTGAATTGCGCCGTGATCTTGATCGGCCATGTGGTCTTTCCTCATATCTGGAAGGCATGCCTGCTGCTGGTAGGTCAGGTTGAGAGTTTGTGAAACTCCCACGACGAACAAGGCCTCTACTCCTTTCTCCCAGTTCTTCCTCCTTACTGTCCATGTTGTATCTTTCTTTGGCAGCACCTCTTGATGAGTAGTGTGGTTCAAAATCCTGTGAAGCCCGAGGTGACTGCTGAGTTCGCATCATGTCACTGAGTGTAGCTAATCCACGGGAACGCTGCACAACAAAGTCTCCTTCTTGTCCATCACTCATAGAACTGGAAAATCAAAAAGAAGGTCCCAGGAAATTCACACATTTAACAAAATCAGATCACCTTCTGGTCTTTAGACCTTGATGGGTAAAGGCATTTGTAAGGTATTTAGACAAGACAACGATGAAAAATACAACAATATAATATTAATACTACTAACAAACATATCTCAAAATCATCTTTCCAGCTCTATTCTACTAAAGAGATGTTTAATAGAGACATGAAAGAAATGGTAATTGATAAGATGTAGAACTATAAAATTGACCAGTAAAATGGGTACTGGTAAGGGATCAAGTTACTCATACAAAAGACTTCAATAGTAAACACTGGATTGGGGTAACATAGATGGTATGCCAAGAAAAAATTTGGCAGAGTGGCAGGTGAAAGGAATGTGACAACCTGAAAAAATTTGGTTAAAGCAAGGGTTATGGGAACACATTGTCAAGATGGTGTTGCCAAAAGAAGGGAGACTAGGTCTAGTGGGGATCTAGGAAGGGACTCTTGCATTACTTTGACTGGAAAACTAGGGTGGAATGCACCATATGCGAGCCATTCCTAGAAGAGTGCAGCTCAAGGGAGGGCAACTTCCATTCACAGTAACCTATTCCTGTCCAGATTATGTATTATTAGTCTCTATGGAGAGATAACATGGAGTCTACTCAAAAGCAGCAGCTTATTAACATCCTAATACAGAAAAACAAATACAAATAAACACTCAGTGTGCATAAGCGTGTGGTGTGGTGTGTGCTTGTGTGGTGTGGTGTGTCATGTGGTGTGGTGTGTCATGTGGTGTGGTGTCATGTGGTGTGGTGTGTCATGTGGTGTGGTGTGTCATGTGGTGTGGTGTGTCATGTGGTGTGCTTGTATGGTGTGGTGTGCTTGTATGGTGTGGTGTGTGTGTTTGTATGTGTTTATGTGTGTGTGTTTGTATGTGTTTATGTGTGTGTGTTTGTATGTGTTTATGTGTGTGTGTGTGTTTGTATGTGTTTATGTGTGTGTGTGTGTTTGTATGTGTTTATGTGTGTGTGTGTTTGTATGTGTTTGTGTGTGTGTGTGTGTGTGTGTGTGTGTGTGTGTGTGTGTGTGTGTGTGTGTGTGTGTGTGTGTGTGTGTGTGTGTGTGTGTGTGTGTGTGTTTGTATGTGTTTATGTGTGTGTGTGTTTGTATGTGTTTATGTGTGTGTGTGTGTGTGTGTGTGTGTGTGTGTGTGTGTGTGTGTGTGTGTGTGTGTGTGTGTGTGTGTGTGTGTGTGTGTGTGTGTGTGTGTGTGTGTTGTGTTGTGTGTGTGTGTGTGTGTGTGTGTGGTGTGTGTGGTGTGTGTGTGTGGTGTGTGTGTGGTGTTTGTATGTGTTTGTGTGTGTGTGTGTTGTTGTGTGTGTGTGTGTGTGTGTGTGTGTGTGTTGTGTGTGTGTGTGTGTTGTGTGTGTGTGTGTGTGTGTGTGTGTGTGTGTGTGTGTGTGTGTGTGTTGTGTGTTGTGTGTGTGTGTGTGTGTGTGTGTGTGTGTGTGTGTGTGTGTGTGTGTTGTGTGTGTGTGTGTGTGTGTGTGTGGTGTGTGTGTGTGTTGTATGTGTTTATGTGTGTGTGTGTGTGGTGTGTGTGTTTGTATGTGTTTATGTGTGTGTGTGTGTTTGTATGTGTTTTGTGTGTGTGTGGTGTGTTTTGTATGTGTTTGTATGTGTTTGTGTGTGTTTGTATGTGTTTGTATGTGTTTGTGTGTGTGTGTGTGTGTGTGTGTGTGTGTGTGTTGTGTGTTGTGTGTGTGTGTGTGTGTGTGTGTTTGTATGTGTTTATGTGTGTGTGTGTGTTTGTATGTGTTTATGTGTGTGTGTGTGTTTGTATGTGTTTATGTGTTTGTATGTGTTTGTATGTGTTTATGTGTGTGTGTGTGTGTGTGTGTGTGTGTGTGTGTGTGTGTGTGTGTGTGTGTGTGTGTGTGTGTGTGTGTGTGTGTGTGTGTGTGTGTGTGTGTTTATGTATGCATTTGTTTTTGCACGTGTGTGAGTGAATGTGTATTTGTGTGTGTATTTGTGTATGCATATTTATGCTTGCATATTTATGTGTGCACATGTCTGTGCATGTAACTAACTTGAAATTGAAAATGTTTTACATAGTATACATGAAATTTCTGTTTATACCTACCTATCCCTGCCCCCATAATCACTATTGTATGAAGATGGTGCATGCTCAGACCTCTCACTTCGCAGCTCCATTCTTGATCTCATGTCAGCCATGTCATTGAGGTTCATGGAATGTGATCTCCTTACACTTGGTGCCCCAGCAGGTTTCATGGCTGTATTAAAAAAAAAAAGAGTGTTGCAATAAAAAATAATAATTTATTGATAAGACACTGATATAATGATTCCATAATTTCTTGTTAATCACATTATCTGTACATATTACATAAACATTTTTTGTAGCGCATGCATAAAAGTAACCTTTTTATACATCCTGTTTAAATAAAACAAAATGAAATCATTTGCAATTAAAAAAGACTATTCAGTTGAACCAATATATTCAAACACAATCAATCACTAAATATTTTGCTGGCCACATATGCTGGGTAACCATGTACATATGGGCTGCTTTCACAAGATCAATACTTGGTGATTATGGCCTTGCTTCCCCTCATTACCATCACCTCAACCAGTCAAGCCGGCCCATTACAAGAAAGAGGTATATTTTTGATGATACAGTACGATTACTCTACTCTTGTTATAAATGGCTGCTGACAAATACCAAGTATTGATAATGAAATAAGCACATGCATAACAAATAATTCATTCTATACAACCTAAAGAATGGCCAAGGCAAAGCAATAATAATGATAACATGACTCACCATCTACATTCCAAGATTACTGAATGTAAAACAAAAACAAAAAAAAAAAAAAAAAAAATACACAATACAAAAAATCTCCTTAAAAAATCAAAACTAGTAATTACTAAAAAAAATAAATAAATAAGGTGAAAAGCAAAGGTAACGATACCATACAAAAAAACTATATTCTACCAAACAGTAAGTGCATTCATGTTAATAATCAAAACAGCCAGCAGCCACTTATAAGACATTTGAAACTAAAATTTGTGGATCAAACTCAAGTACTTGCAGTGTGCTACTGGCCCCAATAAGCACAACACAACTGAGTGCCATAAGGGTGCCAAGTTTTTTATAAACACTTTACCATAGGCCTTGGGCTGGGCTGGGTGACTGGCCCGCGCCCTTACACGTTCATGAGTATGGCCATGGCTGGGAGGGTGATGGTAGTGCGTGGCATCTCTAACAGGGAGGTTGTAGCTGAGGCCCTGAGGGTATCCCATGCCACGGGTTGACCTCCCAGCAGGAACTAACTCTTCCCTGGTGGGCTGGCAGGTCTGGGCTGAGGCCAGATAGTATGAGTACTGATCACAGAAGGGCTGCGACTGGTACTGTCGCCAGCAGTATATGCAGTCCCGATCTGTGACTTCATGATTGCAAGACCACCACCAATGGGGATATATTGAGCCCCAGCTGAACCCCCCGCATGCCCCCTCTTGGTCTCCTGTGGCCCATACAGTCAGAGACAGGTAAGTCATTAGTTACAAACCATACACTACAAGTTAGTAATGTCACAAGTCCAGTCAATATGTTAATGGCAAAACATTAGTACCTATATTATCAATATAATATCTGCTTCCTCAAAAATAACTCAGCTTAAGTTACCAAGTACATAATTAGGCAAAATATTATAACTGCACAAACATAGGAGCACCAAACAGTAAAGTTAGTATTCAAAAGTTAAGACCAACACCAAATCACAAGAGAATAGCACAGGGATGAAGCTATTGCAAATGTAAAAGTCTTTCAACATACCATTAGAAGGAAAAGCAGCACAAGAAATGCAGGTTTGATTGTAAGCTTCATCTTCCTAACAAGGATATTTATAATGGAAACATTCAAATTCACTTTCATCACTTTTTCAAATCAACAAGGTCGGTCTTTCCTAGCTCAAATCCAGTAGACAATCAACATACCATGTCCACTTGAGGAGGTAACGTTAGCCACCACATTCCTCTGAGCATTATCCA